GAAACACCAGGGAAGACTGAGAAGATAAATAAATCTAAACAAAACTAAAACAGACCAAATCATGACAGTGCTGTCCAGTGTGTGTGCCTTTCCTGTCTCTGCATTCCCAACCGCTCTATATCACAGTAGGCAAAAGGAGGAGGGAGACCCGACAGAGAGCCGTTCTTTAACTGGACTCCTATCCTCGTGTCCCTCTATGTTCTAGTCTGTATTTTTACATTCTTTGTAAGTTATCAGTGTTGTTTGTCATATGTTGGTCCTTGTCATGTTACTTTTTTGTTGTTGTTGTTGAGCAGTAAGTCTTGTTTTTTTACTTTTTGTTTAAAATAAACATTTTTAGTTCTTCTGCACTTGGGTCCTACTCCCTTGTTTTACACACCGAACCATGACAAGCACAGTTACACATGTGGTGGGGAATCTCACAAACTCACATGTTTATCTCTGTGATCATGTGGCATCTATCATCTCTTCTGACAGCATTTGTTTCAAATGTATTTAGATACGTCTGTGATGTAATTAACAACTCATAAACATCTCTGTTATTGAATCCTTCATTCTGTAAAAAGTCAGAATCATTCACAGATTCAGCTGCAGTAGAAGAAGAAGGTGTCAGCTTTACGCCTATAGAGTCAATTCCTTTGTGAATAGAAGCATATAACATATAAAAGTAATAAAACAACATATCACTTTCCCCAAAAGAATAATTTATTGATTTATTTTTACCACCATGATGTACCAAATATCGTCAACCCACAGCAAATAAACAACCTTTTACTCTTCACAGACTCATTCTTAATAAGTTAAGTCTGTTTGTCTGGGCTTGCAGTACCTCAGTACCGCTCTACCCTGAAAAACTGCCTCAATGAAATAAAAACATGGATGCACATATTGATGTTGATAAACTGTTGTCTGTCGGTGAGGTAGGATGTTAACCAGGAAAGAGCAGTGCCAGTGATGTTGAGTGAGTGTTCTAAGCGGGATAGAAGAATATTGTGGCTGATGGTGTCAAAGGCTGCAGTGAGGTCGAGGAGGATGAGGGTGTTTAGGAGGCCAGAGTCTGAGGAGAGGAGGAGGTCGTTGGTGACTTTGAGGAGAGCTGTTTCTGTGCTGTGCTGGGAACGGAAGTCGGACTGGAATGGTTCAAACAGGTTATTGGAGGAGAGGTGGGATTTGATCTGGGAGGCGACAACACGTTCCAGTATTTTTGACAGGAAGGGGAGGTTGGAGATGGGGCGGAAGTTGCACATGCTATCTGTTATATCTCCAGGTTTCCACTTTGAGTGTTTTGGTTACTGAACCAGAGCAGAGGTGTGGTGCGATGGCTGGGAGACAGTTTTTGACGAGACTGGGGTTGAGAATCCTGGTGGAGGACTTCATGCTAGAGGTGATGATGGATAGCTCTTTTGGGGACACAGGGGAGAACTGAGACAGAGGTTGGGTGATGAGGGGACAGTGAGAGTGTTGAAGCTGCTGTAAATGGTGTCAATTTTGGATTGGAAGAATGAAAGAAAAGCATTGTATTTGTCAACTGTGAAGGAGGAAGAGGTGTTGTCACTCATGGCTGAGTTTACAGTGGAAACGACCTAACCACATCATGTAAGGTACGAGCTCTTGCATATCCCTCCCACCAAACACACAAACCACACACAGTTGTTTTATAGCACAAAACAGAATCATTAAGAGTCATTTAACACCTTGATATGAACACATTTTACACCTCCTATAAGAACCCTAACCACTAAATCAGCTGTTTAACATCTGATTCAGTATGTGTACAACATGCCAGATTTTACTTAAATAAACAAGAGTAAAAAGTAACATGAAAAACATATTCTGTACACTCAAAAACAACAGCTGTGAACAACAATTTAATCCTGTTACAAATAGCTGTGTCAGTGATTTATAAACAAAACAAGTGAAGAGTTCAGAGGAAGAGAGGCTCAGGCTTAGTCACTTCTTCGCGCAGCTCATAGCCTTTAATGACTGCTACTTCTAAATCCCCGACTGCTTTAACACCGTTCATGAAAACATGTCACCCACGTGTACTGTGATTCATGTTTATCTTGAGTGGGAGTTCCCACCATAGCTGCTTTTGAGGACCTGCTATCCTACTTCCTTTCTACTTATTTGAACAACAAACATTGCTCAACAGCGGAACGATAGCTGAGAAAAAAAACAGATGATCTCATCAACCTGTGTCCTCTACAGTATGTCCCTGCCCAGTACTTTAAAGTTTTAGTTTAAACCCTCAATGGCACAATATTACATCAATCTTTTTCAAATGCAGACACTGAAGAAGGGTCAGATAAGGACTGGAGATGAATGGGGTGGGGTGTGGCCTGCATCCGTTCTACTTTTTTTTTCAGCATTGGTATGGAGTCAGGAATGACAGGGTGTTTGTACATGTGGTGTGTGTTAGTGTTAGTCTCCCTTTTCTAAAGATCATGGTCCACAGACAGGAAGTCAGGTGCTACGGTTGCTCAACATCCTCTTGGAGCCCTTTGTTTGTTTATTCTTGCCAGCTCCAAAAATTGACAGTGCAGTCTCTGTTAACACTCTTTCCTTTGTGTTCATCACTATGTCCTGGAGTGTAAAATAAACAGTGTAAAACAGTGTGGAGGTAGTAACAGTGGTGTACCAGTGGCGACTTGCCATACCTAAATGATGAGTCAGCAGGGTTGAACAGGCCTCTTTGGGTCTGAGTGTGTGTGCATGTGAAGCTTTGCACTGTTAGCTTACAGTATATGTCATGCCACTTGCGCTTCTGCCAAGAAAAATCAAACACTGTGACACAAATATTACATTACCCTTATGAATGGAAGCATTTTGATAAGCCATTTCTTTTGCCACATCAACCATGAAGCAGCTACTACAGCCAGTTTAACTGCTGCTGGTTGTAGCAACCCTTCCTGAATAATAAAGTATTTTTTGTAGCTTTAAGTCATTTCTGTCTAAATATAAATGATATATAATATAAATACTTATTGTTTGGTTTTTGCTTGTCATTGTGCTTATGCACATTTGTATTTGAGTTTGCCACCAGCCTGCCAAGGGACTACAGATGGAAATGAGGTTAAGGTTACAATATGGCATATTTACAGGTTTTTGTTCATTCATGTGCACTGTTCCTATTTTAAATGAAATAAAAAACAAGGCCTCAGTTTAAGGTGGTTAGAGAGCCAGGTGTATGATTATTGAACACACTGTGCCTTTGTCTTCTTCCTGTTTGTTCTATTTGACTTAAAATCCAAGCCTCTTAAAGAAAAGAGGCCTGGGTCAGTATCAGAGGGGTTTATGGTCATGAGAATTAAGCACATGTAGAATTCAATTACTGCAGCTTTTCACATGAAAACAATCTGTATGTCACCTTAGAGGTCGAGTCTGATGTGGTTGTAAAACTCAGCACCAAATTTTTAGTTTAGTACTCCTACAACCAAGGTATCAGAAAATATATACAGCTTGACAGATAAACAAACAATGGGAGGATATGAATGAGATGAATCTCTCCCTGAAACCACAGAGAGAAGTGTTACTTGTCATGGGTTTGCACTTGGCACTCCATCTGACGTGACTGTGTAAGCAGTTTTCATTCAACATTACACCCACATCATCCTCAAATTGGCATGAGAAGAAAACGATAAAAAGCAAGAGAAAGGTTGAAATTGTAGACTTGCAGAAGCAAATGTGTTACTTTCGGGGATCATGTCTGATAGTGTTCTTGTAGGTGAAAGATTTAATATAAAAAAAATTAACTATAATTTGGAGGTTGGATGAAAAAAATGTCAAAATACAATTTGAAATGACTTTAAGGAACTTTATTTATTGAAAATGTATTCAGGATTCACATTCAGAAACTCCAAAACTCATACTCATTAACATTATAAAAACAGTTGGCTGAGGAATAAGCTATCCTTAGATATCCCTAGAGGTAAGGAAAGAAAAAACAAAATCTGCACACCAAGTCTTTCAAGGCTTTTTCCAGGTGCTTCGAATTGGTATGTGGAGCTGGAGGGGTCTTCAGCTGATACCTACTCAGCTGAATAAGGCCTTCTGAAAGGCATTTAGGCCTGCCTGATTGAGATCCTCATTCTCTCTTAGCTAGCCCTGCTACAACAACCTCAACCTTTTCCTTTGTTTGATCTGCTGCACTTCACATCAAACCACATTTTCACTTACCACACATTTCAGACAACACTGATACCTCAAACTTACATTTCACATTTGTTTTTTATATATCTCATTATTTCAGTTAAATAAAAATAATTTTAACTGCTTTATCTGTTTGTGGTCTCCCTCTTTGTTACCAGCACAGAGCTGGGTGGGACAGGGACTAGGGACTAGGGACTAGGGACAGGGAAGGTTGTATAGATCAAGGCTAAGTTCAACAAAACAAATTGTTCTTAAATCTATTTTCTCATGAACTTGGTTCGTCCAGTATAAAAGCATTTGCATGGATATGTGAAGAGCTAATCCACGTGTAGAGTTTTGATTATAAAAATCGTAATATTTATGCATCAAAAAAGTCCTTAATGTTGGAGCAGCAATTACATATAGATTACGGGCATTTAAAAGTCCCAGCAGTCATTTTACATAACATCCCTACGTTTTGGAGAGACAAGGTGTTACAGTGTTTTATAATTTACTCCGTTCACCTTCTTTTGTGTTTTATATTGTTTTACTTTGTTTTCCCCTCTGATGCATTAAAGCTAAAGTGACAAGCCTTTGTTTAAAATATCATGTGGAGTTAAGATAATTGCGTTAAAATGTAGGGAGTAAAATTTATTTGTCAGAAAAAAAAACAGATATCAGAAACTTAAACTGTGTTGAATAATGTGTCCTCTCTAGGTTTTATACTCACATGAAAAGTGATGGAAGTCATGGAGGATGGAAATCTTTGACATTCATTTGTTTGGTTGTAAAAAAAAAAGTCAATTAAACTCTAATGTGGATCAAAGAGCCACAAGCTAACAGGACAGAATTCATTAAACACACACACCAAAGATGTTTTCAACACATTTTTATTTCTGTATCTCCCATAACTGAATGAGGAGCGCTTAGCTAAACATAAATAATACATTAAGAAAAACATCAGTGCAATCAATTGAGATGACTAAAAATCCTTTACAGTCATCCTACATAAATACAATCACTCATAGCAACAGTGGTGTAGAGATCACATTCATTGGTATTACAAAGAAGATATTGTTTAATGTGAAAGATTCTCACAGTTTTACTGACAACAGCAGGGTGAAGTACACAACGTCCAATCTTCACTTGGACAAACAAACTTCAAACTAGAACATCACATCCCTGAGTCATTTCACGTCCCTGAGTCATTTCTCGGTCTTTACAAATGTGCAAAAAGTGTGCCAGTATATCACAAATGTATTTTGGGATAATTTAAGTTGTAACACGAAGATTATAATGAAGCTAATTTCACTCCCCACATACCACTCCTTATATAGACTTCACTTCAGGGTCCAAAGTCTTTCTCTTTACTGCACCTGCTTCAGCCGTCTAGCCACGGCTCTAGATAGGAAGTAGAGCGGAGATGAAAGCTCATCATCTTGTGCTGCCTGTGACTCACACAAAAATACCTACACCTTACTTCTATTTGAGAGAACAGTGGATAGTCAGAAATCAGGGAGAGAGTGAAGGAATGACACGCAGGAAAGGAGCAAAAGGAGCAAAAGGACAGGAGAAGAGACACAACAGCAACTTCAGGGTCAATGATACAAAGGTGACCACACACACCATTTTACAAACAAATTCAACTCTGGAATCTTTGAGTCCCTTTGGTTGGAGCTTGCCGAGGCCATATTGTGCCGGACTACTTTCCAGCTGTGACACCGATCCTTTATATGCTGCTGATTTACTCAGTTTCCCTTTTTCTTTCTGAGAGAGCAGACAGCAGGATCCTTATAGAGGATATCCTGATTAAACCTGATGATTTCCTTTAAGGCACAAAACAACATGTGTGAAATGTAGCTACAGTGTGTTTCCTCTGCAATAGTTTGATGACAGATTTATCTTTTTGGTCAAATTCATCCTGGATCTTCTCTCATCTCTTTCTCCTTAAGGTTGAATGTCTTGAAGCGGAATGTCAAGGACTTCCTGAGTATTTCCTGTGAAGAAGAGATAACAAGAAATGAGTTCACCAGGTGAAACTCTCTGGTTAATATTTATGAAGTTTAGTCAAAGTGCAATACCAGGATAAAAGTGAGCTGGATTAGCTGGATTACAAAAAAATATGTCCTAATCTGGATAATTGTTATCTAGATTGAACCTTTTTAACAGTCTGGCCCAGAGGAGTAGCTGATCAAACTGTAGTTCTAACTCTGTTATTAATTACCTTTCTTTATTTTCTGTTTCTTCATCTTGACCATCAGGACGACAACTATCAGCAGTGCAAAGCCAGTTGGTACAGCAACAACTATGTGGCTCCTCTGGTTGTTGGGATCACTCCTGCTTTCTGGGAGTTTTTCAGTCACTGGGTTTGGATCATCTTTAAAAAAGACAAAGGGAGATGGTTAGTGTGAGCGGTAGTAAAAACAGTTCAACCTTTTGTGCTCCTGAAAATGTCTCAATAAATTCAGAGAAAGCTGCACTGAAATCTCTGTTGCCTGTTCACACATGCACCTCGCTATATGATAATTAAACAGTCCATGTCTATTGCAAACAAAGTCCTAAAAAATACAAATACTCTTGACCAAAACAATTCAACCTTTGGGTGACTCATGTTTGCAAGTTTTATCACTTTTTAAAATCTTAAAATCAGAGTGAGAAGTTTAATACTGTGTGAGCTTCCCCTGATATTATGAGATTAGAACAAAAAGACTCAATCCAAACCTCATGAAATAAAACAAGCATGTAACGGTTCTTTGTCTCTCTTGTCTGGTCTTGTAGAAGACAAAGCATGAATTTGACGTTAATAAATCTGCTTAATATCTTTTTTTCCAGTATCCTTTGTATTGCAATTAACTGCACAGAAAAATCTGCTTACAGATTTTGATAAAAAGATAGATTCAATCAATACTACAACAACATGATGAAGCTTTAGAGTCAGAGAGCTGTTATCAATCTTCAGCTAATTCTTCCACTAACTTTAGAAGAATGCACTGCTTAAACTTGTGCTTTTGCAAATTCTCCCAAGAACCCTCTGCTTTTCTACATGATTTGTTTTGTTGATGCTTACTAGTTGTGCAAATGTTAGTGTTGCACCCTTGAGATGAACCCGTCAGAACTCGTCCATCTTCACTTATTTGAAACTTTTATTAAAAGAAAAATGTCCACAGCTTTACACAAGCTTTGTTTTCACACTACACACATCTCTGTGTCTTCTTCCCTGCGCCTCTCTTAAAGGGCCAGTGTCTTAATCTTTAACCAGACACACTGATATCACAAAATGAAGAAAAAAAAATATGAAAAAGCATTTTCAGCGTGTTACACTAGTTCCATCAGTACCATCAGCTGTGTGCTAAACTGAGAACTTAAATAATCATTAAAGGAGCTAACATCAAAGATCATTTTAACAGGTTTCATTTATTTAAAAAATCCTTTGCCATTATTTAACATCTTTAAAAAGAAACTCACCCACGACAGTGACGTTATAGTGGAACCTGTGCACCGTGCTGTTTATGTCAATGATTTCTCCGTGGAAAATATTGCTGTCATTGACGCTGAGCGGCCCAATAGTAATAGACCCCAATGTCTCATCCAGCTGGAGTTTTTCTTTGGACCACTCTGGGTGAGGAAGCTTCAATGTCCCACTTTCATAGTTGGCGATGGTCTTACCCTCTTTCTGTCCAATTAACTGGATGTACCACAGGATGAGGGAGTCACCTTGCAGTTTAAGAGAGGGATCAGTCATCAGCTTCAATGTGTCACCACTCTTCACTGTCACATCTTTAGTTTCCCCCTCTGCAAATGGTAGCGTGACCACAACTAAACAAAGAGAAAGAGAGATGGGGATGAGAAAATGTCTTCAATATATAAAGCTCAATAAAACAATATTTGCTTGTTCTGTACAAGTGTAGGTAGTGTTTCTAACAACACATCTCATCCTGCTGTTTTTAGATAGTCAAAAGTATTAAATAATAATTATAGATTATATTATAATTATAATAATTATAAAACATGTAATCGATAATCGTTTTGTAGTCCACATTTTTGTAAATGTTTATGTTGCATTGTGGGTTCTAGGATAGGTCTAATTCAAAACAGAAAAAAAGGAGCACACTCAAACAGAAATCAAACTTCAGACAAACAAAGCGCTGATAAAGGCTCTGTGCTGAATACACTGCTACCCTAACAAAAATATCCCTTTAATTTACCCCTTTATCAATTCACAATGAACTAAAAGTCCCAAACAAACGAAATATGCAATTTGATCTACGAAAGTTCAGTTCAAAATGTCTTTTTAGTCCACAGAAAAAGAAAACGGAACAACCTTACAGGGAGACAGAGCTCATAGCGGACGGACGAGCGAGATTGAGCGAGTGTGTCATTACGCACAGAGGACAAAGATGAAACAGACAGACACTTAAATCGTTCACACTTTATAACTACCTGGAGAACAAGGAGCCTTTCCCAATTTGAGGTCTTATAATTGGGCCTGCCATACCCGCATAATTTGGGAATGGCTGCGGTCTCACTTAAACTCAGAAACAAGCATGGATGAATGGTATCCTACTCGCTTCTCTTTACTAAGTAAACTGACAAACGAAGATATTATATATAAATTAAGGCTAATCCTATAAGAGTCTGGCAAGATATGAAACAATATTTGGAGAAAGACATTCCATCATTTGCATTAATCCCGCTGACTCAGAATGTAGATTTTGCTGTTACACTTAAAGAGTGTTTTTCATATTTGGCACACAAAAGGGATTAGGCTCGTTGAGGACAACACACTGCTGTCCTTTCAGCAACTTCAACAAACATTTAACATTTCTTCGGAACAATCTTTTGTGTCTCTTCATACTGAGCTTACCCTCCAAAACACTGTCCCTGAGTAGATCCAATTTAATGCTATATGCAGCAAACTCCTACTCCTGGCCAGGAGATGTATGAAGCAGTGGATAAATGATAGGCCTCCCTCACTTACTCCAAGAAATGTAGAGAGTCTTGTCCCTAGAAAGATTGACGGCATATGTAAAGCCTCCGGGCCACTAGTTTTCAAAGATCACTGGTCCAGGAACATTACTTTCGATTCGGAAAAATAACAGCCACCAATTTAATCTTGAACAATTCTGATGCAAGATTAAATTACAACTTTTATTTCATTAATTGAGCTCTAATTATAAAAAAATATTGTGTATTCTTCATGTTTGTTCACCATCCTGGTAACTGTAAGAGTCTAGTTAATCTGATATTAATGTGAGGCTGTGATAGAGCTGGAATCTCTCCTTCTTTCTTCTCTGTGAGAAACTCTTCATCCTCTTTACTTTAGGAGCTCTCTTAAGGGCTAAGATGCTTTGTGAATAACTTTTATCTTTACCAGGATCTAGTCTTTAACTTTAACGTGTTCCAGCTCCTCCAGCTGTCTGTCACTGTGGATCAAACTGTTCCTCCTTCTGTTTTCGTCATGCCCTGCTCTCACTCTCCACTCTTCCGGTGATTTTTTTTTTCTTTGAATTCTGATTTTAGTTCGGCCTTTGTCGGGATCTGATGGTTTTAAAACAGTTTTACCAAACGTGTTTATTAGTAGAGAAAACCTGCGCTAACATGTGTGTGCGAGTGAACAACTGGAGAGCAGCGAGCGGGAGAGAGAGCAGTGAAGCCGTCAGCTGAACGTGCAGTCAGCTGGACTCTGTCATTCATTCATCCGGGACAGCGAGACAGTTATAATGTCGAGCCTTGCTCATGTTATTAAAATTATTAACCCGACGGCATGTCATTTCTGTCTCTACATGGTCGAGCGTTTACAATTCTCCTCTGCTCTCTGTGTTAAGATTCCGACACTGGCCCTTGAAGAGAGGCGCAGTGAAGCAGACACAGAGGAGGGTGTAGCCTGAAAACGAAGCGGTGTAAAGCTGTGGGCAGTTTTCTTTAATAAAAGTTTCTAAAAGTGAAGATGGACGAGTTCTGACCGGTTCATTTCAAGGGTGCAACATTTGGCACATGCTGATGAGAACACTTTAAGTACATCAGCTATTTGAAACTGAACATGCTGCCAGATTTTACTTAAAAGAGCGACTAAGTTAATGGTTTCATAAAAACAAACAATCTGTGTAGCCTACTCACAAAGAACAGCGTTGAACAGCACTGGAATCTTTATCTTCATTGTGGTGTCAGTAGTTAGGATAGTACAGCAGCAGATCCAAGGAAACCGGTGATAGTAGCCGCTGAGAGGACTCAGCATCAGCTCTTATACACAGCTTAGCCCCGCCTGCCTCCTTCTGCGTCACCAGCAGCACATGTTGTTTCTGCGAGCTTCCTCCTTTTCTGTCCTCCTCCTTTACAACCTGACTCTTTCTTCCTGTCCTCCTCCTATAGGTCTGAAACAACTCAGTCTATAACAATGTATCTGGTTAAGCTCTTTGTTTTATTATGGGGATAATTTTTACATTTTAGCATTATCAAAAAGTGAGGACTCTGAATACCTTGACAGAGAGACCCCTGGGTGCTGATGTAGATATTTGATAGCCTATCTGACAGGGGTGATGGTGTTATGCAAGTGTCATAGGTTGTGTAAAGCAACAGACCTACTTCCAAGTAGTCAGGATGGAAACCATGTCCGCTCCTGTGTTCATTTTAGTTTGATTCTTTTTGCCGCTAGATATGAGATGCTTTTTTAAAGAAAAGATATTCTATGAATGTGTGATGAGTCTTTTGACAGACGCACATTTCCTGGTTAAATATAGATGTTTATTCAACATCTTTAAATGGACATTGAAATATCTTGTTTTTGAGCCAGTTTTGAATATCTTTTCGATGGTGCATATATAGTCATCTTTGAAACATCTTTTCAAGGACAAATGCTTGCTTGGTAGACTCAATACTTAATGCAACTTCTGCTGTACAGCCCATGTCTGGTACACCTTTAATGTCTGTTTTAAACCTTGTACAACTGAACACCATCCGCTGTGATAGATCATGTCACCAAACCACAGTAAACATACAATGTAATTATATAGCAGTATATACTTGAGAAATGTATAATATCTGCAAAATCAAACTTCACAAAAATAATCATCTTACAAAAGTTTTTGTTTTGCCAACTGGGATTATATTAGGTCTCTTCAAATAACATCAACAGGATAGCACTTTATGTAAAGTAGTCTTATTCAAAGCTATGATTTGATACATAAATATTGATTGAGCATTGTTAAGAATCTGTCATGAGTCCTGAAGATTATGTTGTGAGTCTGAATGGTGTTTGAACAAACAACCTGTTGTAACTCTCCTCCCTGTGATGTGGCTGAAGCTCTCTCTTTCTGAAGTAGCTGCTCAAGGCTCCCCACTTAGCGGCTTTGTAGAGTGATGTAGCTCATTGTTTGGTAAGTAATCTCCCAGAATGTAATTCAGAGGAGTGAGTAAAGTATGGACTGGTTTAAATCTTTAAGCCATTTGTTCCTCATCAACTACAAACTGATTCCTCCAACAGAGTGACCTTCAGTAACTCAGACAAACATCTTACGGCCTCTTTGTCCTGATGTCTGAGGAAAACTTGTCACTTGTCATCATATTAACGTTATCAAGGCTACTGGTAAATGGTAAATGAACTTGAGCTTGTATAGCACTGTAGTCTTCTGACCACTTAAAGCGTTTTTACACAGCAATCACACCTTCTCATTCACACACTGATGGCAGAGGCTGCTATGTAAAGAGACCATCAGAAGTAACTAACACCATTCATACACATTCATACACCGCTGACAGAGCAGCAGGAGTAACTTGGGGTTAAGTGTCTTGCCCAGGGACACATCAGACATGTAGCTGCAGGAGCTGGGGATCGAACCCCCAACCTTCCAGAGTGAAAAATGACCGACTGAATTGAGCCACAGCGGCCACTAAAGCTCATAACTGATAGAGGATATAGCTTCAAATACAGATAGCTTCCAGTGAACATCATTAAAAGAGGGGTGCCACAGTCCAAGTGCATTCACTTATCTTGCCTGTTTTCACATTTAAATTGGCAGTGATTACTTTTAAACTGTGTGTGACATGGATGGGGGTATTCATTAATTAACATCTCCAGACTCACACAATTGCCCACTAGCAGAAGAAAAGGGAAGAAATTACTATCCAGCATTTGTCATTTCTTCAGTTTTAGCCTTACCAACGACAGATAAGTTGGATCAAAGTACAAATCAAATGTTTATCAAAGGGACAAAAATAACTGGAAAGCTATAGGTTCAATAGTCTGAGCCTGAGACTGAAGCTGCATAAAACAACACATAGAAATGAGTTTACAGTGGAAATGACTCCCACACATCATGTCGGGTACGACCTCTTGCATATCTCTCACCAAAGAAACAAACCACACACACACCACAGTCGTTTTATTGCACGTAACAGAATCATTAAGGGCATGGTCACACTGGCCATATGTACCGTGCCAAAGCACGCTTCAACCCTAAAGTCCAGTTCGTTTGACCAGTGTGACCGCTCCATATCGTGCTCAGGCACGGTACACTTCTTTGGCTTTGGCACACTTCAGAGAGGTGTGCTTCAGCACGGTACACTTCATGCACGAGCACAAGCACGCGGGTAAACAACGCTGACAGCCTTCATTATGGAGAAATCCAGAGTTTCATGTCTGTATGTGACTAACATGACACAATATAAGACACAAAGTAGTTGACATGTTCTCTGTGTTGTTCTCCGATGTGCGGGCGGCCGCGCGGGCAATCGTGCTTGGGTACAGCACGGTACAGATGGCCAGTGTGACCGCGCCCTTAGAGTCATGTAATACCTTGATATGAACACATTTTACACCTGATAATGAGAACCCTTTACACCAGTGGTGTCCAAACTTTTTTTCTTGCGGGCCAAAATTGTCGTGTTAGAATCGCTTGCGGGCCACAGGTTTTGTTTTTTACACACATTGTCATGAACATTTTCTATTTTAGGAATATTGTTCAGCCCTTGTTCACATGAAAAAGAAAAATAAGACGATGTGCCAATCTTAATCAAGGCCTCGGGCCAAAATCTTCTGATTCTTTTTTCAAAGTCACGGGCTGCAAAAAATCCCCTCAAGGGCCGCCAATGGCCCTCAGGCCGCACTTTGGACACCCCTGCTTTGCACTAAATCAGCGGTTTGACATCTAATATCAAATGACATCAAATATATTCATAGTTTTTACTCTTGTCTATAGACAAGAGTAAAAAGTAACTGCTGACTTCTTTGCGGTGGCCATGAAGGTCAACTGTCTAAATAGCAGGTGAAATATATTTGCAGCAGGTGAAATATTTAGACAGTTGACCTTCAGGGCCACCGTACTTCTTAACCCCGACTGCTTTAATGATACAACACCGTTCATGAAAAACACGTCACCAATGTGAGGCATGAGTCATGTTTTTCTTGAGTGTGAATTCCCTCTCCATCTGCTGTTGAGGACTGGAGTGCTTACTTCATGAATGTTGTTCCTTATTTAAACAACAGACATTACTCAACAGCAGAACAATAGCTGTGAAAAAAACAGATGAGCTCCTCAACCTGTCCTCCACGTCCTCCTCCATGTCTCTCCATCTGTCCGTATACCTGCCCAGTACTTTAAAGTTTTAGTTTAAACCCTCAATGACACAATATTCTATGAATCTTTTCAAATGCAGACACTGAAGAAGTAGTCAGACACTCTGTTAGAGTTATATTGTCGGACTGTTATTTCACTGTGATTGTCTGAGTGTGGAATTGGAGGCAAATGATATGACTTAATCACATCCAAAAACTCTGAATGCTGTATACAAATAGGAAACCAAAGAACAGAATTCTGTAAACAAGGAAGAGGGGTACGTCAGGGATTCAACTTGTCCACTACTCTCTTCAATATCTTTATTAATAAACTGGCAACAACTTTAGAGCAATCCTCAAACCATGGATTAGATCTTCAAGGCAAAGAAAACAAATCTGTCATGTATGCAGATGATCTGGTTCTGCTGTCTCCAACAGAACAAGGCTTACAGCAGAATCTCTCACTGCTAGAAACTTTCTGTTAAAACTGGACACTTGACATCAACCTACAAAAAACGTCATGATATTCCAGAAAAAGGCCAGATCTCAGAAATCAAAATACTGATTCACTACAAGAGGAACCACATTTCAATATACAATAGGATACAACTACTGAGGCATTATTAGATAAGGCACACAGAGCCTACTGCAGCATAAGGAAATCTATGAATAAACTCAATCTCTCAATTAAGATTTGGCTAAAGTTATTTGATAACATTATTCAACCAATCATTATGTGAAGTGTTGGGCTCTGTAATGAATCAGACATCTCCGGACACAACCTCAATTGAAAAAAAAGTCATCTGCTGTTCTGTAAGCACATCCTCAAGGTCAACAGAAACTACCCAAAACTGAGATGCAGAGCAGAGCTGGGGGGAATTCCTTCTGTCTGTCCACATGTTCAAAAGAGCGTACCACATGCCTTTCTGAGCAACAGCCTCTGCCCAGAGACTGACCCCCTGAAAGATATCAAAGAAAGCTATCAACTCAAAAAGAAAGAGCTCCACCATCTCTCCAAGACACACATTAAAACTACTGACAAGGAAAACAAAACCAGGTTCAGGTAAAGAGAGCATTCATTAGTGAAATATCTTTTGAGTTTTAGAAACCCCCCAAAAAGACGCATACTCAGCAATCATAAATTAGACATTGAAACAGGTCGTCATAAAAATTGGAAACATAGGGAAGAAAGAATCTGTAAAAAATGTAAATGAGAACAAGTAGAAACAGAGGTCCACTTTCTCCTCATCTGCGTGCTGTATGAAGCTGAAGAGCTAGGTAACAGCAACAGAGACACACAAGGTCCTAATAAGGTTTTGTTAAGCAGAAGTTGATATGTATGTATGTATTTATCAAAAATGGATATTAAGATATAATGTAATTGTTAAATGTTTTAGATGTTATATTACTGTTGATTGTTTAAATAATTTTTGATTTGGCAATACAGTCCTTACCATTCATGCCAATAAAGCATCTTTAACATGAACTTGAACTTGTTAGACTTAAAAACAAACATTGAAACACAACAAGAAATAAGAAAACACAACATTAACTACTAAAGGAAAAGGTAGGTATCTGCGGTGGACAAGGATTGTCGCTGATTGGACGAACACAATGTCTGTCTTTTTAACATGAAGGTTATGTTACTTTCAGGTGTTGATTTCAGAACATGAGCTCAACCGGTGATTCAGACTGAAACCCCAGCTGCAGTCAATTACCCCTAAAATATAATCATTACACAAACTTTCACACCACAACATTGTTAAAAATCAACCTTTACTAAGCACCTTCCCTCCCTCCCCTTCTTTCTTTCTCTCTATCGCTTCTTTCACTTCTTGTATCCTTTCTTTGGTATTTCATATAGTTTTGTAGTTTTCTGATCGTAGTATGATGTGTGTCTATTGATGTCTTAGTATTTTGCTGTCTTTATTTGTTTTATTTGTTTTATTTTATTTTTTACTGTATTTTGGAGTTGTTGTCCTGACCTTGTCTGTTTGTTTTTTTGTGCCTCATTTGTTATGTATATATCACCAGTTCACTCTCTCTCTCTCTCTCTCTCTCTCTCTCTCTCTCTCTCTCTCTCTCTCTCTCTCTCTCTC